AAAAATCAAACTAACCCTGCTGTCTTGAATCACGGGAATTCCGAGCTCCCGTAAATGTTCTTTCGGTCCAATTCCTGACAGCATTAGTAGTTGAGGCGAGTTTATCGCACCACCGGATACGATTACCTCTTTTTTTGCACGTATATGAAACATCTTGCCGTCCCTGATAAACTCTACTCCGTAAGTGTGTTTTGATTTGGGATTCACCAACAATTTGGTCGCGTACGCGTGCATCGCCACATGCAGATTCTTTCTGAGTCTGACCGGTCTCAGGAAAGCCTTCGCGGTCGAGCAACGACTACCGCGCCTGATGGTGCCCTGAGCGATCATGAAGCCCGTTTGAAACTCGCCGTTGATATCACGATTCTCATAGCCCATCTCTTGTCCAGCCTGGACAAAGGCCGCCGCTAAGGGTGTATGCCACGGTGCCTCTTGCACTGTCAAGTATCCGCCGTTTGCGTGATACGGTGTACGAACCAAATAGGGATTCTGATTATCCTCTGATTTCTTAAAATAATGCAAGACGTCTCGCGAACCCCAGCCAGAATTACCTTGCTGCTCCCAGAGGTCATAATCCCGTTTATTACCTCTCAAATATAGCATGTAATTGAGTACGCTGCTTCCGCCTAGCACTTTACCTCTAGGCCAATTACAACGGCCATTCTCCATCGCTATAAATATTTCGTTACATCAAAAACCATAAAGAAAACGAATGCTTTTACAAGCTTTATACCTAGAGCCATATACCTAGGCAAGCATCTCCCTGCGGCTCGGTCTTGTATTGCCAATCCAGCTGGCTGAGTTGAAGATAACCGGCAAGCAAAGGCACGTCCGAGATTTCGGTTTCATCACCACCTGCTTCCAGCAGTAACACATTCCAATCCTCGATCTCGGACAAACGGCTGGCAACTACAGCTCCTGATGCAAGAAGAGAGATAAGAAAATGGCAGAAGAAAAGTATTTAGAATCGTTTAGGTACATAATAGTTACAATCGTTTGACTCGCATTACGAAATAAGATGAGAATTATTTTTTGGATGATACCTGCGCTACCACCTCCTATCACTATAAAATGATATGAGGGTAATAGCATCTCCGATGGCACATTGATCGGTGGGGCCTCATTGTCTAGAACTTCATATTGGAAGTAGACAAGTATCGCACCGAGAACCGGAAAGAACCATAAGAGTCCATTAGTCGACGCCGAAGTCAAACTTTGTACCAGAAAGTTTTCGATTCCCATTTTTGTTCTTCCAGAAAACTAGAATTTGTGTACACGAATTAAAATTTATTAATATTTCACTAGGTGTTATCGAATGTTTCGTTATAACCCCGAATAATTAGTACCACTCAACACTCGAGTTTTTTTTTCTTTCCCGTAGGAATAATAAAAGAGATAGTAAACTCATATTTTTTACGATTTTCAAAAAGTAATATTTGAAAAATGTAAAAATCCATTGGAGAGAATCTTTTTTTTGTATTAACATTTATTAAAAAGTAAAAATTTATATTACAATAACAGATGACAATAAATCAAAATTGGAGTAAATAAAGGAGTGATAAGAGCCAAACTGGATAAATATGTTTATTATTTTTCTATTTTAAACAAAGTTGAATGCAATAATTGCAAACGTTTCGACTTTTTATAAAGGTCGACTGACCTTTATAAAGTCATTCTCAGTGCGATAACAAAATAATAAATTCGTCAAATCATTATACATGTTTATTGAGGTTCATTAGTTTATTGCTTTATTAAATGATAAACAAAATGTGCGTGCTTGCGCGCGCGTGCATGCATGTAAACATGCAATGACTAAACAGATTTTTCCAATTTGCATAAAATTAAAAAAGAGAGAAATGCGGAGGTGATAAGCAAAAGAAATTTCTAAAATTACTTTCAAAATCTATTTATGAGAAATAATAGAAATCTGTTATTATTTAGTAAAATAATATATATATTTTGAATAATATTTATATATAACTTGCCAATGGAATACATATGTATGTGACTCTTTATTAACGTGAAAGAAGAATCTTACCAAGAATTTTCCTGATTATCACGTAACATTATGATTTTATAACATTATGATTTTCTCAAAGAATATTTTTTCATATATTGCAAACGATGCAAATAGTGTTCATCTTTTTCTCATTCGAGTATAAAATTGAAGAATTTTCTAAAAAAAAACATCTAACCGAATCAAATCAACGCACTATTGAAATACTATTGAAATGAAATCGATAACTCGGTAACTATCACATTAGATATTGACAAAGAAGAAACCATGTGCTCTGATCTGACGGTGCGATGTGAATATCAATTACTCGTCAAACTTTCAAATTCGTTAAAAAAATTTCGAGTGAACTTCATATCCATAATTATCTCATAAACTCTTTAACTTCTTATAATTAAACAATTTTATCTGTTTGATAGATCACATGAAACATCACGATTTCACTTTAACTTCTTATAATTAAACAATTTTATCTGTTTGATAGATCACATGAAACATCACGATTTCACTTTAACAAATGACCAAAATGGCGAAAATGGCATGTCTTTATCGTATATTTTTAATTATATCAGGATAGCGATATCAGATACAACAGATAAATTTTAAATTTCACGCTATATCTCAAAAAAATTTGTAAATAAAATGCAGATTTATTTAAAAAATTTGATCTGTTTCTGGGATCTGCTATAATGACATACGTGACTTTTATTATAAACTGTTACAATACATATTGTCAACATACTAGAAGTTCAACAAAATTAGAGAGAGAGAGAGAGAGAGAGAGAGAGAGAGAGAGAGAGGAGGAAAAAAGAATATAATAAATAATAAAAAGAAACATAAATAGGAATGAAAAAAAATCGCAGAAATGTGAAGCATTTCATCAATATGAAATAAATGAGTTAACACGCTAAATGATTCGAAAAGGAAAGCTGCACCAGTTTGCCTACTTTCTGAAAGACGGCGGAGTGTACATTTTAGAAGTTTCCAACATTCTTAAATGTAACACGATTTTAAACGTTATAATCATGTTACATTTACGGACGTCAAATTTTTTTTATTTTATATGTTTTTATTTATATCAAAATTGTTTATCACTTTTTCGCTAAGAAGAAAAACTTATTATACAGGCTATTTTAGAATTTGCGCAAACATGAAATATTGAAGTTTTTTTGCAATAAAGAATCTTTACTTTAATAAAATTATGTTTAAATGTGAATCTAATTTATAAATGACAGCAATGACAGTAATTTAAAGCTAATGAATGAGTCAAGACCGACGCGTGCTGCATATGTTTATTATATTTCCATATTATTTTACTATTTCCTCAAACATTAATGATTATGCGTGATATCGAAATATTTTGAATATATTAACAAGAGAAAGCTTTTTCAGCTGATATGTCTGACTTATCGACTCATTCACGAGATGCGTATAAATTCAGAGCTAAAATGTAAAATATCCTGTACATAAAACGTATAATATAAATATAAATAGTTTAACAGCTACAGAAAATTATTATTTAATTAATTGTGTGATTAGCAGTTCCCTTTATAAATATAAAAATATATCTATGGAAATTGTCGCAACTTTATGATATTTTAGATTGATTTTGGAACTATTTTCTTCTTATAAGCTTAAATTTGATAATTTGAATAATTTTAATAGAACTTTTAAAAAAACACATATAGATGGTTTTATTGAAATTATCTTATTATCGCATTATGAAATCGAATGAAAATCGAATTCCAATTAGATTTTGAAAATACAGATAGAGGAAAATTTACCAAAAAGAACAACTATTTAATTTTAATGAAATTATCGTTGCCATGCTCAAAAAAATAAATTTATAATACAAATCGAGGCATGCGTTTTTGCTAAATGGGATCATATGATAATTTACTATAAATTATCTTACTTTTTTTTTAAAACCTCACGCCAGTATCCTACTAAGATTAATCCGCTTGCGTGCGTTTATGACGCGCTGAAAAATCAACGACATCCAAGCGAACATTGTACCTGTCACACTCTGAATACGTTCAACAAAAAACTTTGAGAAACAAAAATATGAGACGATTTCTTCTATCGTGCGATCGAATTGAAATATCGAAGTGAAGTCTTTTCGGCAAAGAATGTCAATTAAAATATCAAAATATCAGTGTCGAGGAAATTGTGAACACGGGTAGAGAAGAAGAGACGAAATGTCAGAACGATGTTACTCGACGAAGAACGAAATGATACTGACCATGACCTTGCTACAGCCTCGATTACTTGCATGTAGTCGGGTACCACATTCAGTATTGTGATGTGTCGGTGTTATGTACACCGACAGGTTCCCGAGCTCTTCGATCCCGTAAACGCACCGGGATAACGGTCATTGATTTGCCTCTCTTTTTCTCTTTTGATTTTTCTCCTTTTTTGTTTTATATCAGTGTATCGATATCGTCTCTCTCTTCTCGAACAAGATTATCGTTTGATTCCGTTTCCCATTATTATTCCTTATTCATACTTAAAACTACTTTAGCTGGGAAGCGCACGCTGTCAAATCGACGATACCGAAATTCAGGAAAGGTGAAGAAAATGGTTTATGGTATTTATGGTAATCAATTAAATAGTCCAAAACAATTGATAATTTTTAAGGCTGAATCTCTTCATTAAGAGAAAATAAAAGATAATTTTATAATAATTTTTTTTCCCAACTTACTATACATTTTATCATTTTTTTGTGTGATACATAAAAATTCTATTTTCCTTTTTCCTTTTTTCCCCTTCTTCTTTTTTCTTTTTTACTGTCAATATTACTGTAAATATTTTCTAAAAATTTTGGATAATTATTTCCATTGCGAATCCATTAATAAATTCTAAATGTCTTGCTTTTATCATAAAGTTATCATAAAGTTATCAAAGTAAATCACTATTAGAATATGAGCGCAAGTCAGGTAATTCCGAACGAATTTAAATTTGATTTAAATGATGTACGACGAATTATCTTTATGTTCACGATAATAATAATAATTGTAATATCGACGAAAAGAATTGTGACAGATATTTCAAAATCATTAGTGGCACGCGATTACGTGACATATCTCATGTTTCCTTATAGTGGAGAAGTTCCATGACATTACGTTCTGCTGCGAGCTTACGGTAAAGAATTACTCATCCGCTATCGGGACTGGCCTACTTATTGTTGCGATACGAGCGCGTGTTTAACGATCGTTCGGAATTACAAACTAATCGATGACGTCGTGACAATATGTATTCTAGAAAGTAAGCTCTTTTTTTTTAACCTTAAATTCTCTCTCTCTCTCTCTCTCTCTCTCTCTTATCTAGTATTATCTAGTATTATCTAGTGATTTATCAAGTATGTAAAAAAATTACATATTGTAAAAATGTGATATTTCATATCGTTTCTCTCGCTCGTCTGTGTCTCTCGCAGTGACTTTTGCAATGATATTGTATACAATTTATAAAAATGTAGATTGAAATCTTTCTTGATAATTTTCTCTCTCTTTGTCTCTCTCTCTCCCTCTCTCCTCGATGAGAGTAATAAATCTTTTTTTATTAAAAATCAAATTAAATTTTTACAAAGAAATTGAAAATTAGGAGGACGATAACAGGCGGCAGCAAGATCGAATATTAATGAAAAGATATATTGCAAGTAAATTCTCTCTCGCGTACTCGCGTAACCAACTCATACAAATCATCCGTTGCATTTTGCAGGAGGATGCTGCGGCTCCATGAGAAAGAGAACTATCGTCGGCGGATACGCGTTCACCTGGTGGTTCGTCACTGATGTACAGCGGTTATCGCTGGAAGTGATGACTTTGAATCCGGTGTGCGAGAGCGTGGAAACGGCACAAGGAGTACCGTTAACGGTCACTGGAGTGGCACAATGCAAAGTCATGAAGGCCGACGAATTATTGCACACTGCCAGTGAACAGTTTCTCGGCAAGAGTGTTCACGAAATCAAATCCACGATCCTGTCCACTTTAGAGGGTCATCTTCGAGCTATACTTGGTATATTTATTCACTTTATCATCGATTTGACTATAAAGATTCTATTTAACGAATCGAAAGCTATTTACCACAGCATCTTTTAATCTCGCAGTTGTAAAACATTCTAGATATAAGATATAGTCACAATTTTGTGTCTCTTGACCACTTAAATCTCATATAGAGTTTTAATATTATAAAAATATTGAACGATTAATAATTTAAATATCTGTAAGAGAAATAAAAGCATTTGTTATCATATTTCGCATTAACATATTTGAAGAGGATTTATAAGAAAGTCATTATCTTGAAAATAGTCAAGTATTTGTCAATTTTTTTGGATCCATATTTTTAATATGTTTAAAAAAAATCCATATTTTTGAAAAATGCTAAACTATTAAAATTTGTTTTAAATGAAATTCTTTAAACCTTAATTAAAAAATAAAATAAATCATAAAATATGAAGATTATATTTTTGTAATAAGAATGAAAAGTTTTTGGAGTAACCATAAAAAATTTGATATGATGTGCAGCATATTACTTTTACACAGTACTTCGATATAATTAATAATATAAATTTTTCATGATATTTATATTATCGGTAGCACGTTTCTTTATCAATAGTTATTTCTCCATATATAAATATAAAAATAATATAAAAATAAAATATAAAAATTTTTAATATAATTTTTATATTTCAATATATGGAGAAATAACTATTGATAGAAAAACGTGCTACCGATCGATGCTTGCAGATGCGAGGAAGATTTCTGAATCTTTCTACATAATTTTTTATATATTTAATATATTTCTTGTTATCAATAAATATCCGATTTTATTGATAAAACATTAATTATGTTATTTAGTAATATATTGTAGAACTAATGTCACAAGTTGTTTGATATTTTTATATAGCATTTCACGTCTGAGCCTTTAAAAATAGCTAGACGATATATGTCCTAATTCTAAAAAAAAACAAGCCAAAGAGTTAATTAGATTAAAATTGTTATCTCGATGAATTCGTAGTTGAGAAAAATGAGACACACCTTTTTTTAGGAACGCTCTCCGTGGAAGAGGTCTATAAGGATCGAGATCAATTTGCGGCTCTTGTGCGGGAGGTCGCTGCGCCGGATGTTGGTCGCATGGGCATTGAAATTCTCTCGTTCACGATAAAGGACGTTTACGATGAGGTTCAATATTTAACATCACTTGGCAAAGCCCAGACGGCTGCTGTTAAAAGAGATGCCGATGTGGGCGTTGCCGAGGCGAATCGAGATGCCGGCATCAGGGTATGCTTCGTTTGTGCATACAAATATATGCGATATGTGATGAAAAATGAGAAGTTTTCTTTATTGCCGATATAATTAGCGTGACAAAATTATTGCGGATATAATTATATTTATTTTTTAACCAACTTGAAGTTTAATTCTTAACTTTAATTCAAAGCTTCATTATAAAAATTCCAAGTTTTATTATCGTGAGAAGATGTGAATGCGCGACAAAATGTGAAGAAAAGTGAGCTTTCTTTGACAGAAGAGAAAAAAATTGGTTTTAATTAGCTAAAGGAAAACTCGCAAATATCATCAAGTATAAATCAATATAAGATATCTCGATGTCACTATCAGAACGTTTTGTTTTTGTCAAATTTTTGTTGACTCATAATTTTGCAATATTGTAATTTTTTCGTTGCTCTACGATAGGAAGCGGAATGCGAAAAATCAGCGATGGACATAAAATATAACACTGATACTAAGATAGAGGACAACGCGAGACTCTATCAATTGCAGAAGGCTAATTTCGATCAAGAAGTAAATACAGCGGTGAGTTTGTATATTCTTGAAATGTTGAAATACAGCGTATGAGAGAGAGAGAGAGAGAGAGAGAGAGATGTTTACTAAAAAGAACAATCATGATTACACATATTTATTTTATTCCGACTGCCTCCAGAAAGCCGAAGCCCAGTTAGCTTACGAACTTCAAGCGGCGAAGATAAAACAGCGGATACGAAACGAGGAAATACAAATTGAAGTTGTAGAAAGACGTAAGCAAATCGAAGTCGAGGAACAGGAAGTTCGTCGAAAAGAGCACGAACTTCAGAGCACAGTGCGTTTACCAGCCGAAGCTGAATTTTATAAAATGGGAAGGATAGCCGAGGGAAAAAGGTAACATTTTTTCGCGATACGGTTACACGACTTGGAAGTAACCAAAGGAAGAAAGGAAGGGGGAATAGGCTTACTGCTTTAAATACTATCTTTTTTCAGAACCCAAACTGTGAGTGCAGCAAAAGCCGAAGCAGAGAAGATTCGATTGATCGGGGAGGCTGAAGCTCACGCTTTGGAGGCTGTCGGTGTATCAGAGGCCGAACGCATGCGAATGAAAGCAGCGATTTACAAGAAGTATGGCGATGCAGCAATACTCAACATCACTTTGAATGCCTTACCAAAGGTGAATGATGTGATTTTTGCATTCTTTGTAACAACTTATTGTATAACAGTATTTTCCGAACTTGTCATTGTATTTCTTTTTTTACAGATCGCGGCCGAAGTCGCGGCGCCATTAGCGAGAACGGAAGAAATTGTGCTTCTCGGCGGCAGCGACGCGACTAGTGGAGAACTTACGCGTCTCGTAGGGCAAGTACCTCCAGCTGTACAAGCGCTGACTGGCGTAGATCTTTCCAAAGTAAGTTTTTTTCTTTCTTCTTTATTTCATAATTTATATTTAGTAAAAGTGGCAGAAAAGACCATGGCAAACGCGTGTCTTCAAACGATGTTTACACCAAGTCATCATTTGAAACTGTGCACTGATAGACAATCATAGACTCTCATAGTCTATGTTAATATAATGTTAACGTTATTTTATTTATGCGCAGGTATTAGGAAAAATACCAGGCGCTAAGTAATACCAGACAGTGTGAGTTTAAGGATGGCGATCAAGCGAACAAACTTGGAACAGGTTGAAAAGGGCAAAACTTGTACTGCCAAAGATTTCTCTGCTACTCTATCATCTAGCGACGATTTTTCCTCCGCTTTTTCCTCTTTCTCGAATTTTGCTCTACCTCAAGTCCAATCAAAGCAGCATCATACGCCAGTGGACACGTTTTCTTATCTCTTATCGCGCGAATAAATATATTCGAGTTGCTCGCATCGTATTCGCACGTTATCTTAAACATGATGCGTATGTATGCGATATGTTACATTTTGTTGATGTAATATCGATGTAATCGTGATTTATGGGACGGGCGACTAACGCGAACCGAATTATGATATCGATAATTATGAACCGATACAAATCAATTATGAAAAGTACATGTTCTCACAAACACACACACATGCACGCACGCACGCACGCACGCACGCACGCACGCACGCACGCACGCACGCACGCACGCACGCACGCACGCACGCACGCACGCACGCACG